TATAGCTCTGGCTATAGCATGTCTATGTGCCTGTAGCTCTGTGTAGCCATGGAGCTATGTACCTATAGCTCTTTATATCTGTGGGCCTGTAGCTCTGTGTCTGAAATTGTGGACCTATGCCTGTAGTTCTGTATATCAACATATATATAGCCCTACAGCTCTGTGAATCTGATCTACGGGCCTGTAGTTCTGTGTAGCATGCGCCTATAGCTCTGTGCATGGCCTTGTGAATCTGTGGGCCTGTAGCTCTGCCTCCTCTGCACCTACATATTCATGTGTTTCTACTTGGATTCTCAGGGAAGATAAGAACTTTAAGAACCCTCTCTTCTCTTTCTCAGACCTTCTCCTGGAGCCATTGTCCTTCTTCTCTGGTTGGGACAGGCACAGACCAGGCTACTGTGGGGCACTGGCTGGAATACCCTGTAGGGCAACTGGGCCATGCCACCAAACAAAGGAACTGGTAAGACCTGGAAATCTCAGAGACTTGAGGATGGCAGGAGTCGAGCCACTTCCTATCCATTTCTGTATCTGATCTGAAACAGGTAACCATGGTATCCTACTGAGAGGACCATGGCTTCAGCCAGTGAGCTTCCCTTCCTGGGCATTCCTTTCCACAAATGGTATTTAACCCCTGGTTCACCCTGAATAAAGTATATGTATTCACATCCACCATCAAATAAACCAGTCTGAATAAGCAAGGACCACCATGGGGAAGGACCTCATCTTAAAGATTCATGTCTAAATCTCCCTGGGAAGGCCTTCTCCTCCAGCCTCTTGGCACTTCGTAATCAGATCAGATCCACCTATTCCAGGCCTTGCCTTTGCCTCCCCCTGCCCCGCATGCAGACGCCCAGAGAGAAAGGTGGATCTGTAGACCGCCGGTTTATACCTATGGCACTCAGGTACCCAGAGAGGAGACCAGAAACCACTGTGGAGTCCTCAGATCAGACTTTGCGCTGCCTTCTCCTGGCGGGGTGCAGGTGGCACTCTGAGCTCTCCCAGAGGAGAAGCAAGGTGCTATGTGACAATATCTATTTTTTCCCTGAAGTTTCTTGTCACTGTGGGGGGCATCAGGGGTGAGGCTCTATGGGCTGACTTGCATTCCTTTGTGACCAAGCTTCTATCCCATAATGTTATAATCTCACTGTATGTTGAGATGAAGACATTCAGAGAAATAATGTATGAAACTGAGGCCATTTGTATGGGTTGTAATCAAACAGCTATGGCCTACACAGGCCAATGGCCAAGGAGAGAGGAAACCAGGGGGCCAACCTGCTGAGCCTTTGATTTCAGATATCTGGCCTCTGTGACAGTAAGAGAATAATGGTCTTCATTCAAACCCCTGCTCTGTGGTACTTTCTTGCAAGAGTTTGAGCAGTTAAACCCCTGGGGAACTGCTATCGGACAGGTCTTAGCATCATCAATTTGGATGGGGGTGGGCCCTGATGCTGAAGGACTTGGTTCTGCTTTTCTCTTGAGCTCAAAACCTAGGAAGCCCTCAGTGGCCCATTACTGCTCACAACCTCCTGAGCCTTCAGGCCCCCCTCACTAGCACAGGTAGGTGAAGCCAGTATTCTGACAGAAGCACTCCACTTTCTAAGATGGCTTTACTCGAGAAGTTTGCAAGCCAGCCAGGGCATAGTGACACACACCTTTAATCTCAGCACTCGGGAGGCAGAGGCAGGTGGATCTCTGAGTTCAAGGCCAGTCTGGTCTACAGAGCGAGTTCCAGGGCAGCCAGGGCTACACAGAGAAACCCTGTCTGGACTTGAGAGGTGGTTGCAAAGAACCTGAGACCGTTCCCAGCATCTGCATTGGGTGCCTCAAAACTGCCTGTAATCCAGAGAAGCCAATAGCCTTTAGTTTCCCTGGGCACACATACGCAAAATAAATAAAATAAAATAAAAATAAATCTTTAAAACTGTGCTAGCCTTGTGGAGTGTTTTTAGATGCAGACAAAATCGAAGTGTGGGGCGGCCATCCCCCCCACAGCTCCCCAGGGAGCCGCCATTCAGGAATATCTGCCCCACATTTTCTCTGCCATTTCCCTCTTGCAGGAGAAAAAGTGTCCACCGAGAGCTTTTACACAAATGGGGTCAGGCCGAGCTTGACATCCAAAACTCACTTCCTTCATTTGGAAGTAAGGCGGAGCACTCCTGGGTGAATGAGGGCAAGGCTCGGGAGGGTACAAACCCCACCATCTTCTGAGGTGGGGGGGGCACAAAATGCCATCCCGTCTCTACACTAGGACCCACCCGGAGGCCTGGCAGTCAGCAGAACCAGCTACAACATTCCATCCCCCCACTCCCATCCCCCACCCCTGTATTTGCAATTAGCCAACTCTTTTCTTTTTTTCTTTTCTTTTTTTTTCTTCTTTCTCTTTTTTTTTTATTTCTTTCTTTTTTTTTTTTTTTTTTTTTTTGCCAAGGACTGAGTAGTAAATACTTTCAGCTCTGAAGGCCACAGTGTCTGCCACGGAATGTTTCAGCACTACTGAGCAGCTGCAAACACACTGTAAATCAGCGGCCATGGCTGTGGACCAAAATCCAACCTCAATGTAGGCATGGTCAAGCTGCCTGCCCTTTACCATGGATCCCTTAGAACGGCGTTCTCAACCTTCCTAATTCCTAATGCTTCTAACCTTTAATACAGTTCCTTGTGTAAATATCTGTTCTCTGACGGTCTTAGGGGGCCCCTGCAGAAAGGTTGTTGGACACTAGCCGCCCCATCACCGCCAAAGGCTTTGCAACCCACAGGTTGAGAACCACTGCCTTAGAGGCATTCCACACCTCCCTGTCAGCTTCTGCCATGCCCACTATACAGGAAGTCACCAATGACCCAACATTAGCTGTCACTAGAGCAACCTGGGAGGTTTACAAGCTGTGATCTCTAAGCCTCTGCAGATGTTGTTAACATGCAGTGACTAAGGGCACTGGACATAGATCCTTGTCAACCTAGCATCAGAAACTCAAAACCCATGTGTGTCTCAGGCTGGTTCAGCCCTGGCTGGGACTCCCAGGAGTCGTGTTACCTAAAGCACACTGCTTGCTTCCCTGTTCTCAGTCATTCTTAACCTCAAGCCCCCAGCCACACCATGTGATGCTTAAAGCTTCCCCTATTAACCTGATTCTACCTCATCCCTAGTTTAGACCTTACCACCCTTCTCAAAGGTGATTCCTGCCATGCTGAATGGGACACTCTCTAGACCCTGTCATCCTCCCTGCTGGGTTACAGCTTCCAGTTCCTCAAGGTTCCTTTTCCCAAGAGGCTATGCAAGTTTGCCCATCACCTCAGATCACCTCAGGGTGACTGACCTACAAACATGGTTCCTGGGCCAAGCCAGCCTCAGCCAGGACTCAGACCAGCTAGTAACCTCAAAATTAGCATGGTCGCCCACTGCACCCCACACCCCACCAAGAACAGAGGAGTTTACTTCCAGAGCCCTGGGGCCTATAGACCCCACAGAGCAGAGTTTCCAGTGGGAAAAATTACAGCAAGCTCAACAGACTGTAACTGGGACCACAGCGGCCATGTGTATAGCAGGAGCCACATGCATAGTGACAGTGCCTGGCCTCCCCACCCCAAAGGGCACTGAGATGACAGTTCACTCGCTGCCCTCTCAGACAAGAAGATGCCATTATGCCCATTAGCATGAGAGCATCAGAGGAGTTTCCATGAAGATGTTTAGCATGTTCCTTTGTTTCCTTTATAATTAGCCACCAAGGTCCTGCCTCAACCAGTGCCACTGAACGGTGACGGGCGGGGGTGGCCACATGGATTCACAATCGGGAAAAGGAGAAGGGGGTTTAGGGGCCTTCTGGAGTGTGTGTGTAGATGCAGGGAGAGGGTGACCCTCAGATGAAGTCACCCCATCCTTTATCTGGTGAGACATGAAGTCTGGTGTCACTTGAGATGCGAGGACAGTTTTCTCCCTGCTATTGGGATGGGGCTGGGACACCCCCATCTTAGGGTTAGCCTACAAGGAGTATCTTTTGGGACTGGTCAGCAATGCCCTCTTGGGACCTATGAAGGACAGAACACCGTGCAGAGACAGCAGGGCAGGATCTCTGCAACTTCAATTATGACTAATTATGACTCAGAATAGGCAAGAAGCCCTACACAGGGTGTGGGCATGTGGGGATGACCTGGCCCCTGTGACTACACCAAGCAGTCTGTGAACTCCCACATCCTCAGACATGAGCACCGAGGTCAGTGGGAGGAGGTAGCCATGGTTACGAGAATGCTGTATGGGTCTGGCTGCTCGCTAACCCTGTGTAGCACTGCCACAGAGAGCAGACACAGGGAAGACAGAGAGCTCCCCAGCCATGGGCAGGTGCCCCACGTGGAGCTGTGTGGTTGATATCTAGCTCTATGTCCCTGACCATCCTCACTGTCTCTTGTCTCTTGTCGTGGAGTGCTGGGACTCTCTGAGAAGTCTGTGTATGCCTCTAGGTCTGAGCTCAGCAGAGGCACACTGAGGGCTAGTTGGGGCTACTCCAAATTCAGGGCCTTCCTGAGGCTATGGGTCACCAAAGCTCAGAGTCACTCACCCCCTGGGGGGCAGGGGACAGCGAGCATAAACAAATGAGTGAGCGGCAGTATGAGGTTGTATCTTGGGGTGTGTCTTCAGGGAATCTGACACAGTCCAAATGGCCCGGCCTCCTGACCTGTCTGGCTCTGCCAAATGAAGTGGGGGGGAAGGGGAACTTACCACAATGACCAGCAGAGCTGGGCCCACAAAGGCCCAGATGGCACCACTCCCCAGAGACAGCCAGCAGCTGTGGAGAGAAAAGAAGTACTTGAGCATCCTGGTCCACGGAAGTATCTCTACCCCCGCAATGGCAGGGTAACAATGGCAGGGCCCCAGCATAGAGAAAGGATTTGTCAGCTCTAGGTACCGACTCTGACTCCCAGTCTTCACCTCTGAGCCATGGTGATCTCATGAGTCTCTTTCTCGGAGAGGATTTCTCAGAATTGATGCCCTGGGTCAGCCACCTCTGACGAGTCCAGCCAAAGCCCAGAGTTGATTTCTGTTTCGCTACCATAAGAAACAAAAAGCTACAGCGGGAACTGCCTTTGGGGTCTTTGCAGAGCAAGACAAATTTTGGCCAGGAAGATGCCTTCAGTGGGGCTCAGAAAACTGGCTGGCCACCTGCTCATCTGCCCTGGGCTTGCGGTCCAGGCCTCCCAGCCAAGCAAGGACTCTAAGACCCATCTGTCTGTATACCCCAGGCCATGTTCATTTACATAATTTCATATTTCTTCAACTGGATGCTGCACAGTTTCTGATCATCCAAGAAAGGCCTGAAGTCCACAACGTGGACTTCATGGGGGACCAGAACCATGCCTCTGGGAGAAGCACATGGATTATAAAATTCCCATCGGAAGGATCAGCGGGTAAAAGCACTTGCTGCCAGGCCTCTTGATGACCTGAGTTCGCAGCACCCCAGAACCTGTGATAAATGGAAAGAACTGACTTCTGCCTTCCACATAGATGCCACGGTATGTGTGCACACACGCATATGCATGTGCATACAAGCACATGGATACATACACACACACAATGAATAACTAGATGCAAAAAATAAAAAAAAATCTTGGAATTTAGTAATACCCATCCTATGGTTCCTTTTTCATTTGGTTGGTTTTGTTGTTTATGTTTTTCCAGACAAGGTTTCTCTGTATAGCCCTGGCTGTCCTGGAACTCAGTATGTGGACCAGGTTGGCCTCGAACTCAGAGATCCACTTGCCTCCAGGTCCCACAGGAACCACCACTGCCCAGTTTACATTGCTGGTCCTAAGAGCACAACGGGATTGCTCTTGCTCCCACTGCCTAGCCCTGGGGGTACCAGTGGGTATCCACTCTGCACCCGGGTGAATGTGGGCATCTGAGATCAGCACTGTGAAGCCCTTTCCAGAACCTTCTCTACAGGAGACCAGTCTATCACAAGGAATGCTCCGAGCACACAGGGTCACTTACCTGTCACTTGTCCCATAGCTGTCCATAGAGGATGATATGGAGATGATACAGATGAGGAGAGGACACCCTGTGGAGGGACAGAGATGTCACACGACCTGCTCCCATCCCCTTCTGTCCACAAATGCGTGTGTTCAGCTCCTGCTGGCCAGTGCAGTGGGGACTATGGCTGAGCACTGAGCATGGAGGATTGCTAGGCACAAGGACCTTGAGGGCTAAGCCAGAGGTCACACATGCTTACACACACACAGTGCCTTCTTTTGGTTCTCCATAGGAGCCTAGGGGTATGTGATAGCCCAGGACTTAGGGCAGGGTGACCCATGGTGACAAGAAGGGAAAGTTGGTGTCCTGTGTGGGCCATGATTCCTAGCTAAGTCAACTGACCCACAAGACGCATGTGTGAGTGATTAAGGACATTTTGTGAGTGTTAACAGGGATGTGTGTCCTAAACATTCAACAGGCAGAGGCCCAGGTCTCTGTTGGACACCCCACGTTCCACAGACTGCCTCCCTGAGAAACCACTCCACAGCCGAGGGGGAGGGGGACAGTCTTGGGTCAGCTTCACTAGATTGTCAAATGCTCTGTTCCAAGCTGCCAGTATTTGAGTCCACAATTCTCTAGCCAGGCATGCTGTTCCAGATCTATGGGGCCAAGAGGCTGGCTCCTTCCTAGCTCTCAGGCACGTGACCCATGACTGGCTCAATGGACCGTCAATCCCCTGTAGCTACAACAATTGATTGAAAGATGGACATGTGACCCAGATGAACCAATAAGATTCTAGCAGGGACTGCCCCTGAGACTGGGAGGAAAAAAAGAACTCTGTCGCTGTGGGGACATTGGTGGGATAGACGGGGCTTGTGCAGCCACCTTAGCATCATGGGGGAAAGCTCAGGGTTCTGCCAATGAAGACATCAAGAAAGGCAAATTTATGTTGTGGAACTCCATAGATCAAGACCTGAATTCTACCACCACAGGCCTTTTTGGCTATAGGAACCGTTAAGTTCCTTTTTGTGCCTAAGTCAGTTTGAGCTGAATTTGTTTTTGCTAAGCCTCGTCAGACTTCTGGAGAGGGAGTGGAAGTGAAGTCTAAGAACAAACCAGCAAAAACATTTAGACCAGCAATTCCCACAGCATTCCGTCTCCCTGCCAAGAAAGGACTCCGGGTCAAACTGCTCTTAGAGCCAGCCAGCCCAGAGCGGGCTGACCGCTCCCTGCACTTTCAAAGTTCAGAGGATTTATATATATATTCAGATGTGAGTCTCCACAAGGAGGAAGCTTCTCGGCGATCTTTACCTCAGCTGTGGCACGGGTTTTTCACTCTGGAAAACACACCTGAATTTTCAGGCGGATCGCTTTCAAATTCTGCAAACACTTTCAAACGCTCAGCATCTTCTACAGGCTCATGATCTGGTACCCTTTGCATCCCCCGACAGGGGCCAAAGACCCAAAAGAACTGACTCCATACCCCACCACAAGAACCCTTGAAGGAGAGTGTTCGAAAGAAAGGACCGTAGAACAGTGGTTCTCAACCTGTGGGCTGCGCTCCCTTTCAGGGGTCAAATGACTCTTTCCCAGAGGTCCCGAGTCAGATATCCTGCATGGTAGATAGTTACATTACGATTCCTAACAGTGATAAAATTACAGACGTGAAGCAGCAACAAAATAATTTATGGTTGAGGGTCACCACAGCATGAGGAACTGACTAAAGGTTTGAGGCATTAGGAAGGCTGAGGGCCACTGCTCTAGGGAAAACTATTTCTCGGCTTCCACCAGCTTGTGTGAGAGCAGCCTACAGATGGCTGGCTTCATGCCTCCATTCTCTATACCAAGAGAGTGGTTTGGAGCCTTGCTGCTGGTGCCACCGCCTCGGCCTCCTCCTCCTCCTCCTCCTCCTCCTCCTCCTCCTCCTCCTCCTCTTCTTCTTCTTCTTCTTCCTTCCTCCTCTTCCTTCTCCTCCTCTTCTTTCTTCTTCTCTTTCTCCCTCCTTCTCCTCCTTCTCCTCTTCTTCCTCTTTCTCTTTCTCCTCCTCCTCCTTCTTTTTGTTTTTTTGGGGGACAGGGTTTCTTTGTCTAACAGAGCCTGGCTGCCCTGGACTCACTTTGCAGACCAGGCTGGCCTCAAACTCACAGAGATCCACCTGTCTCTGCCTCCTAAGTGCTAGGATCATATATATCCCGAGGATACACCAGACCTGCTATGCACCCCCAGGGAGCTGGCTGAATCTCTCTGGGCCTCCATGATCCTGTTTATGGAATGGAGACTGTGGAATGTTCCCACAGGGCTATTGCAAGGGCCACACGAGATGCATGTGCACAGCAAGTCCCTGTGTATGACGCTGATCCCGTCATAATCAGAATCCTGGAATGCCTAGATTCCCTACCCGCTCCCACCAATATCTCATATGAAGCTGTCTTCGCCAAACCTCAGCAAACGGTGTCACTTTTCTGGAGTCCTTCTGGCCCTGTCACTACAAACATATTCTCTCTGGATCAAGATGCACCCTTCTCAGGACATGGTAGCCTTTCAGAGGCCCCAGCCTTTTGCTGTCCTATAGATAGCCTTGGCCTCCTGAGACCCTGATGGAGGGTGGCATACATATTTGGGGGAACTACTGCAGGGGAATGCTGGCTAAAAACAAGACAGGAGTTGGGAATCTCCCATGGAAACCACTGACATTCCCGTGTTTGCTGTTTTTCCATCCGTGGAAAGTGTGTACTGTGAGACTCTTGGGACTTTGTTCTGAGTGGCAGGCTGCAGGAGTGTGTGCTTCTTATGGGCTCAGTACTGAATTCCCTCGCACTGGCTCTGGGTGGTGACTGTAGCGGGATATTCCCCACCCCCACTCACACTACATTTGCAATAAAGTTCAGTGATTGGGCAGTAAAAGAGGAGGTGGAGCTGGGAGAAGGAGAGAAGAAGAGGAAGGGGAGGAGGAAAAAAAAGAGGGCTAGCGACCATGGAGGAAGATGGATGGGTCGAAAGCAGTCCTGGGTAGTAATTTCTATCAAAAGGTTAGATATTGCCGGGCAGTGGTGGCACACGCCTTTAATTCCAGCACTTGGGAGGCAGAAGCAGGCGGATTTCTGAGTTCGAGACCAGCCTGGTCTACAGAGTGAGTTCCAGGACAGCCAGGGCTACACAGAGAAATCCTGTCTCAAAAAATAAATAAATAAATAAATAAATAAAAATAAAATAAAAAGGTTAGATATTGGGTAACAATATAATTGAGTATTTCCAAATATATAAATCCATTGGATAATCTTTAAGCACTAAGAGTCTTCATTCTACCGGGTACCTCGAGTATGGAAAATATTATCAGGGGCTCAGCCAAGCTTTGTGGCGACAGCGTGGTTAGTTGTGGCACACTTGGCCTCTGGCCACTTCTAGCTGTGGCGCGCATGGCTTTTGGATGCTTCTAGTGGGGAACATGGCTGCATCCTGAGTAGAGCCATCCTGCCAATTAGCTAGCTGGCCCATGCCGCGGCATTTCAAAATATTAGCCGTTACAGGTGACCTCTCCACTCTGGGCTCTGGGCTCTTAACCCCTTCTGACACTGTTCCATGGTTAGACAGGTCTCACAAACATGAAATCAGTGCTTGACATTTGTACTGGCTGGTTTTAGGTCAACTTGACATCAGAGAGGAGGGAATCTCAATTGAGAAAAATGCCTCCATAAGATCCAGCTGTAGGACATTTTCTTAATTAGTGATTGATGGGGGAAGGCCCAGCCCATGGTGGGTGGAGCTATCCCTGGGCTGGTGGCCCTGAGTTCTTTAACAAAGCAAGCTGAGCAAGCCATGTAAACAGCATCCCTCCACGGCCTCTGCATCAGTTCCTGCCTCCAGGTCCCTGCCCTGCTTGAGTTCCTTCCCTCATTGCTTTTGATGATGAACTGTTCTATGGAACTGGGAGGGAAATAAACCATTTCCTCCCCAAGTTGTTTTTTGGTCCTGGTGTTTCATCGCAGCAATAGGAACCATAGCTGGGACAGCATTTAAACCTGACCAAAGGTAGGAAGCACTGCCTGGCTAACCCTAACTAAACCCCACCACCACCCAGAGACTGAGCTGGCTTCCTAAATCAAAACAAAGAGGAAGGCGAGCCTGGAACAGATTTACTTCATTGGGGTCTCACCCTAGATGGCGGGGACTTCACAGAAGACATGAAGTTCAATAGAGAACAATAAACCTCGTGCCTTCTCTCCACACTGACTTGGTAATCAAATTCCAGTTGGCTGCATCAAAATGCAGGCGCCACCGTCCCCAGGGACACAACCTGTTCCCCTTGATTTCACAAACCCCTGTTCCCAGCTCAGGTCACGGCTGCCGCCAAACCTGTAACTGACTGCACACCTCCTCCCCACCTCAGTTTCAAAACAATATTACATTTCTAAAAAGCTTCAATTCCGTGCAGGCTGAAGCACTGGCAGGGAGAGACCTGAGGGGAAGAGGCTATGTTTCCCGTGGTCTCTGCCCGCAGCGGGGTCTCCTGTGTCAGCTCCAGCTCCTTCATCATTAAGGGGCTGGGGCGTTAAAAACCTGCTGCCTGCAGATGGACTGTACTTAGGCCAGAAGCCAACCCTGCCCGGAGAAGATGAAGGACACAGTTCACGGGCTCCTGACACAATTAATTAAGGACGGGATGATGGGAAGATGGATGGCGGCTGCTGGGGTCAGAGCTGCCTGGGGTTCTATTTGTAGAGAGCTTGTATTGGAGCCGCAGACTGAGTTCTGTGAGGACCACATATGTGGACATCAGAAAACGCCAGAGCCTACCACATTGGGAAGCAGGCTGTCCCGCCTCCTCGTTTTTTTCAAAAGGAGTTTGCCATTGTAGGGAATGACCTTCATGTTTTAATATTGGCAAATAGCTCGTTTCTTCAACATTGGCGGATCAAGTAAAATATTCCTCTAGGTTGGAGACAACAGACTAGCACGTCCATTCACACACACTCAGCCCACACCCATTCACATACATACATGCATACACTCACTCACACGCCAACTTGCACGTCCACTTACATGCCCATCCCACACTCATTCACACACACACACACATACACTCACACTCACTCACACTCACACTCACATGCCCATTCACACACACACATACACACACTTACACACTCACTCACACCCATTCACACATACACTCACTCACATGCCTACTCACCCATCCCACACCCATTCACACACACATAAGCACACTTACATACTCATACCCCCACTCACACCCATTCACACACTCACTCACGCGCCTGCTCATACATCCATTTACACACACATGCTTATACACTCACTTACATGCCCATTCACACTCACTCACATACATACACACACTTACACACTCACTCACACCCATTCACACATACACTCACTCACATGCCTACTTACACCCCCACTCACACACACATAAACACACTTACACACTCACTCACACCCATTCACACATACACTCACTCACATGCCTACTCACATACCCATCCCACACCCATTCACACACACATATACACACTCACTCACATGCCTACTCACACCCCCCACTCACACACACATAAACACACACACTCACTCACAACCCCCACTCACACCCATTCACACACTCACTCACACGCCTGCTCACACATCCATTCACACACACACTCACATACTCACTAACAGGCCACTCACACGCCCACTCACACCCATCATATTCCTCCCTCTAACTGCCCTGATCACCTGCCCCTCTCCCCTCTCCATCAGAACGACTTGTTTTCCACGAAGAAACGAGCAAGCGGCCGGTAGCCATCTGTGTCAGTGTCTAGATCTTTCCTCACAGAAATCAGGAGTCACAGGAAGTGTCACCTCCTACTTGTGTCAGACTGAAGAAGCAGGTCATACTTGGATCAATCCCACTGAAGGGCTGGAGAACAGTGGATGCCACCCTTGTGTCTGTCATACACACACAAAAGCACCGGAGTGATCACCCAGGCTGAGCACCAAGGCAGAACAGGGACCATGGGGACAGTGGTACCAGCTGCATGGCCTGTAGCAGTTGGAGGTAGCTGCCCACCCACATCCCTTGCTCCAGTCTCTCCAGGGAATCCCTGGGAAAGTGTCAAGTGTCAACGCCTCCACTTCAGCCTCAAATAAATGGCATTTGCCAACTCAGGAGCACACACAGTAAACACAGTTAATCTGCTGTTTGCATAATGAGGGCTGAGAAAATTAAACCTATTTGAAGGAAGGCAGGGGAAAAAGAAAGCAGCAGGTCTTTGATGCCTGGCTCATGGTTTACAACGACTACAAAAATGGTGGGTGCCCATCCTCCGAATGACCCTTGTGAGAAGTGGCTCCCCACTGCTGGCAGGGACTCCTTCTGAAGAGCAAGAGTCAACACAGCCAACAAGCCAAGGCTAGGGCATTGCATTGTCCATGGCCCAGGGAGACTATGAAGGATAAACGGTAAGGGTCTAACCTTTAAAACTTTCAGAGTCCCTGTAAACTTTCCTAAGTGTAAGCAGCTGAAGGAGATGAAGGAACTCAAGAAATCACTATAAGAACAGGGAGGCCTGGGGCACTTGAGTGACTTCCTTGCTTCCTGGCTGGTGACCTGTGTGTGGCTCTGCCCCTTCCCAAGCTCCCCCTCCCAGGCCTGAAGGGTATTCTTGGGGGCAGAGCTAAAATCCCTAGCCCTGACCTCTACATTAGAGAGCTCCATTCTAAGGAGGCTGTTGACACCTACGCTACCCTCCTCTCTAACCCCAGGCTACAGTGTGTTTAACTATACACATGGGACAGCTCTCTGTGCCCTACCTCAGCTGACTCTCAGGATAGGGAGGAACTCTGCAGGTCAGAGGCCACTGCCCCTTCCCAGAACCCTCTGAAGAACAGATGACACCACCTAGGTTCAGTCCCCACTCTGTTCCTCCACTCTGATAGGAAATGCCAGCCCAGGGCCAGCTTCAAACAGTCCAAGTAACAGAGTTAGTGAGCCAGTGGAGAGGTAGCCATGGGAGGAGGCTCAGAGCCCTGAACTATATCATTCAAAAGGTCTTAAGTCACACAAGATCGCAGAAAGTCTGGCCCACACAAAAGAAATGTATCCCAGAAACTGCCTGGGAGGGACCAGTGCTATTGAAGACACAGAAAGAAGTCACTAAAGCCATCAATCAGCAGAGTGTATCAGGGCAGAAGATGTATTTTTTTTCTTTTAAAGGAGAAATGTGGATCAAATGGACACTCTGGAATGGAGAAGTATAATCATCGAAACGAAAACTTTAGTAGAAGAACCGGCAGGAGCCAGGCAGCCAGAGAAAGAGTCAGAGAGGACTCTAAGACCGCACAGACTGTGCTACATGGAGATCAGAGAAAACAGCCAACAGGGTCCCCAGAGAAATTCAGACACCATGGCACTTCTGGCGGGCACTGGAGGCTGTAAGAGAGGAGAGCCGAGAAAAGCAGGTGTCTGAAGACACCATGGTTGCTTCAACAATTGATAAGGACCAGGAAGAATGCCAGGAAGCCAGGGAGGGAGGCAGCCTGGTCACGACTGAGTGCAAAGGCTGAAAGGGAATGGAAAGCCTCAGTAAGATGGGAGAAAAGCAGCCCTCCAGCTCCAGGAGCTGAGAGAATGAGGAACAGACGTCAGGGACAGCCATGGAGACAGAGGCAATGAGGGAACACGAGGTGTCCCTAGGAAAAACATCGGCATCCAGCACAGCCACCTCATAAAATAAAGGCAAGATGGACATTGTAGGATAAACAACCATCAGAGTGTGTGGTTAGAAAGCCTGCTTCACCAGATCCAGAAAGAGACGAGAGTGCTCAGGGAAGAGAGCTAGGGGCACCCACAGCAATGACATGCACGTCAGTGCAGGCTCAAAGATACACGTATACATACATACAGAAAGACAGATGCACACACAGAGACACGCCCGTGCATACAGACCCAGATACGCACCCAGATGCATGGACACACGTAGGAACACAGACCTACGTACACGACACGGGTCGCTTATGAGATTATAAGCAACAGTAGAGTTGGGTGCCGTCCTCTCTTCTTTTCTCTCAATTGAGTTAAAAAGCAATAATATCAAATGACATTTATAGAGCTGCATTATTAGGTCCATAACAAATAGAAGTGTAATAAGCTTCTGAGGGAAGCACACAGGGGAGGGAGAGAGGGAAAGCTGTGTGGGAACGTGGCGATGAGGCCAGACTCGCAGGGACATCCGCAGAGGACCAGACGTGGTCTGTCCGATGGATAACAGGACACACCCTGCAGAGCTGCAGAGACACACCCCGTCTCCTCTCTCGGCTTCTATTAGAGAGGGGAGGTTGACAAAGTGATCTCATAGCCCGTGGCCCCCCACGCAGTTGTGATATGTGTAGCAATAACCTCAGAAAAGGGGATAAAGTAATAGACCCACTTAAAAGCAACACTTCCACTTCGCACTGTAATTTAGAGAGAACATAAAATAGATTTTAATATGCTGAAATGCATACAGTAAGCACACGGGCAACCGCTAAAGAAAACAACCCAGAAAATACAGGGAGAGCTCATTTGGAGCACTAAAGTGTTGCACAGGAAAATACCCACTTAACTCACAGGAAGGCAGAGAGGGGGAAGAAACGGGGACAGGCCAAGTGACGTCAACCCCTCACTTGGAACAATGGGCACAGCAAATGGAGGAAAGACCTAGGCCAGAACGGAGAACTCAGAATGTCACCTTGAACTAGCTAAGCCTGACAGGAATCGAGCACACCGCCCAACAGCAGAGCACAGAGTCTGCCCAAGACAATGTAAGATTAATCTGCCATGAGTCGCGTTGTTGACCAATCCCATCTCTGGCGATGTCTCTCCACACCTGATTCCCCCCACCCCCATTCCCATCCCCTCTCCATCTAAATCCATCCCATCTCCATCTAAACCTATGTCATCTCTACCAAACCCTGCCCCACACTCACCTGCTCTGCCTCATTGCCATCAGAACCCATTCCATTACATCTGCCCCACCCCTACCCGGCCCACCTCATCCCTCCCAACGTATGTTAATAAGGTCCCACCTCGGCCATCTGCCCCACCCCTACTACATACCCCAGCCTATCCCATAGTAGTAGAGATGCTTGCTGTCCTCTGACCCGAAGACCTTTATCACCATGCTGTAGAGATGCAGCCCTTCCACCAGCATCCAAGCAAAGGCGGTCAGGAAGAAGTAGTGAAGGAGGACAGCCAGCACCTGGCACGGGACCTGCGAGCCAAGCAAAGGTGCAGGGTGAGACCACAGGGTGCACAGTGACCACGCTGAGGTTTTACGTCCTCGTATTTATTCCCGGGACACCTCTAGTCACACGACCTCATTTTCACCATGGGCAGTCAAGGCTCAGTTGCTCTGTCCAGAGTTCTTCTATAACCCATGATGCTGCCACTCCCCAGCCGTGCCCACTCCCAGCGCCCGGTGACTCAAGAAGAGACTCCAACAAATCCCCTCCCCTGGGTCTCCTGAGGAGACCCCACCTGGGTGCCAAGGGTCAGCAGCAGGCTGAGGATCAGCACCTACTCACCGTGCCAGGCTCCATGGGGAAACTGATCAACAGCAAGACCTGGGCCACCAGGACGGCGAAGGACAGGTTGGCATGGATGTGGTAACGCTGGTTCCGGATGGTGCTGACGGAACTGAAGACAGAGAGGCCAGTGTGAGCCCCAGACCTCAGCTTCGACATCCTATCCTCACTCAGGTCCCCTCTGTACTTCTCTTTGAGAAACCATGGGTATCTTTCTAGATCCTACCCCTGCCCCGTGCCATAGATCCCTGCTTGGACCCCAATTGTTCTTGGCTAGAATCCCAGTTCCTTTCCTAGCCCTAGCCACGATGCATAGCCTGAGCCCTTCCTGGAATTTCAGTGGCTCATCTAACTTCCCTGGGCCCTCTTCTGTCTCACCCCCTTCACTGTGGGGATGGGGTGGGAGAGATGGAGGGTACTGACTGAGATTCTGAATTAGAACCTGCAGCAGATACACCCCATGACATCATGGGTGTCACTGAGGCAGCAGGGAGAGAGGAAGCCTCTTGGATACAGGAAGATGATTGCAGGACCTGCCATTCTTTTATAATCATTCCTGGCAGGGCTCTGCCCAGAGACCTGGATGGCAACCAACAGAGAGAGCTTCCTGGTCTCCCACCCCAAGATGCTCACCTCCGCACCGTCTCCTTGTGCATGACAGACTGCTCAAGAAGGCATTTATTTATTCTTTGGCTTTCTTGGTTATTGATGGGCCCCGTCCAAAAGCATTTATGCATAACTTGGCCTCAAAATGAAGCACCATTGCTTGCTGAAGAGGGTGCAGTCAAGGATGCCTGTGCTAGTTCTTGCCTGGCTCAGATCCCACCGGAACTCAAGTGCCAAGGTGGGACTTTCCAGACCTTTCTGGCATGTCTAAAACCTAGTGATCCTACCCTACAGGCCCTGCTATTTCCATCTTTCCTGCACCTCAGATATGAAAGTTGCCGGAGAACAGTCACATCTGTACCCCTACTAGCAGGGCTGGGATGCACACACTGACCCCCAACCCACGCCAGGGTCTTCAAAGACAGACAGAGGAACGGCCCAAGTGACAGGATGCACTGATATTTCCAGTAAGTTGCTAGACTTCCTGGGGACACAAGGAGAGGGTGACTCACGACAGTACTGCGAAGGTGACCAGTGTGGCAGCCAGGCAGAGAACTGACAGAGAGCAGCCAACGTAACTGATGGACGACAGCGCCACCTGGTGTCCGAGTGTGAGCTGCAGAAACAGAAGGAGATGTGGGAGGCTGGCCTTGCATTCCATCCCCTGGCTGGGATGGTGCCAGAGCAGATGCACCCACAGTGCTAACCTTGTGATGCCAACCTCCAAGACTTGCCTCACAGGCAGAGGGCTATACCACACTGGACTTCAGGGTTGGCATTTCCCATGCTCCAGGTTGCTACGCCGTATCCCCTGGCTTCCCCACTTAAACTACCTGACCTGTATTACCACCATATTCCCAGCCATGTCTGAATGGGTGACCTAGAATGATCAGAGGCATGTGCCCCCTTTGGCTATGAAATTCAGGCAGCAACAGTGACGGGCTTGAGGTGGGTACCAGTGGATTCACAGACATAAAGCTAGGAAGACTTCACACAGCGTGCTGGGCGAGAGAATACGGTGACCCACGGAGGATCGCTTCCGTCTCTTGTCCTCAGTATCGCTAACCCCCAAACTGACAGACACCATGTGCTTGCCTTCACTGCCAGGCACACACGAGCCCTTGGAACCTTCTCTTAAATGGACACCCATTTGGTCACCCATGTGGTCACCTAGACTGACATCTGTTGTGACAGACCATCTTTCATGCAACAAAAGACATATGTAAACACATTATGCCTCCCACTGGAGCCCAGCAGCCTGTATTTGATGGTCCCAGCATCTGGTACCCATCCCTGTTCTGTTGAGGCTGGGCTTTGGGGACTCTAAGGGATGGTGTCCCAGCTTTGATGGAGGCTGAGGTTTCCTCATGCAGCTCTCTGGCCCTGGACAGAGCCCAGATACGGCCAGGCCTTGAGAGACGCCATGGTTCGCTGGGCAACTTGAGCCTGGAGATTCTCCCTCACTTTAATCAGCTGTATCATTTGCTGACCACAGGCAGGAGCCTTACTGTGGCTGAGCCCAGGGTGTCAACATTCTGCATCCTACGGAGATAGATACACGATGCAGGCATCCCAGCTGCTGTGGAAGGATGGAGATTCCATGACCCCTTGTGGGGTTAATTAGACATCAGGACTAGGCCTTCTGCAGATCAGGTCAACCCCATGGGAGAGTCTGCTAAGGAGTCTGGGCCTCAGACACTTCCTACCAGGACTCAGGATTCTCTCTGTCTCCCATCAGCTACCTGGCTTACCAGGGAAATGAGGCACACACCTGCCCTTCACAGTGAGCAAAATTCAGGACTTTCATCAAAAGCCAGGAGGCTCCTCAAGGGTGACAGATTGACTAAGCTGTCAATCACAACAGGGAGAGCTACCTTTCTAGCTTGAGGGCAGAGCCCAGGACCTGGAGTCCTGGTGGGAACTGCTGCCACATCAGGATGCAGTCACTCTCCCAAGAGATACCTGTAGCCCACAGAGGAAAAAAGAATAGGCTCTTTTCCCATCATCTGTACTGGCTGTCAGGAGCTAAGATCAACCCATGGTACAAAGCCAGGCAAGGATAGAGGGAGGAAATTCAAAGACCAAAGACTCAGGACCAGGTGTGGCATAGGTTCTCAGGACTGAATCCTTCATGAACACCAGACACCAGGAAATAAGGACCCTCTCCCTGTCCCTTCATGGCGAGTCCTGATCCCAAAGTGCTGGTGAGTAGTCCTAACTGCTGGCAAAGGCCCCCTTGTGCCCCAGCTCATCATGGCCAGGCTGCTTGAAAACAGCAGGATGGGTTTTAACATTGAACTTTCTGGGTCTCAGGTCCAGCAGGCTGACTTAACCTACAGCACTCGAAAGGGGAGTCATAGGGGTGTGTGGCGTCTCACCCTTTGTCTGAAATGGCTGGAGGGACAACTACCACTGAGGCAGGTCCCCCATGGAGGTCAGACTCCTGGGGAGACATACCGTCTGTATGCACCTAGTTGGAGCAATCTCCAGGATGCACCGATTCATTTGTGAGAAAGGAGCAATCTTCACTCTTTGTTCCGAGAACAAAGCGGTGCTTGCTGCAGGCTCGAAAGGCTTGTCGGTGGTGATGGAAACCACGGATGGAGAGGGAGGTGAATGGGGGCGGGGGATTGGTTTGCTCTCTGCCCTGTTTGTATAATCTCTACAAAAATCCACAAAGAATTCCTCCACTTCCTTATGCCTCTTCCATCTGGTCCTTGGACTCCTGTGGGGCTCCTTGGCCAGAAGGAGACCAAAACTCAGGCTACAGTACACTTCCACCTTCGAGCCTGAGCTACCCATGCTGGGCCATCCTCAGTTCTTTGCTTCCTTTTGGGGGGGCACTGTAGATCGGAGGCTTCCTTCTGCCGCATCTAACCTTCCCTGTACCCAGTCACCAAGTCTATACCTTATCCCATGGGGCAAGATCCCCAGTTTGAAGGCAGCTTCCTCCTGAAATAGGATCCCAGAGGAGACGGACAGCCCCTGCTCTATGGAGAGAGCTCCTGCCCCCCCTCCCCCACAGCTTCAGAGCAGCTGATTCTTAATGACTATTCTAGAATAAGACAGGCACGGTAAGTGTCTCTGTTCCATGAGCTGCATCCTGGGTCTGGCTGGAAGAGCTGATGTCAGGGAGTCAGAAGGTGGATCCCAGAGTTAGGACCTAGGATAGGGCTCCCCAGAGGTTACCTGGAAGCTTTTTATCTGCTCTGTCCCCAAGTCCCTCCTCTGTCCTTCCCTCCCTGACCTTCCAGAAGCAGTTTGCACAGTCCTCTCTGATGTGACCAGCCAGGCTCATATGCATGGTCCAGAGGGCCCAGGAGCCTCCCCAGAGCCTGAAGGGAAAGATGTCTAGTGGGAAGCAACCAACAGGGAGGGTACCACAGGAAGAGACTGAGGAGACAATGGGAGACAGGGAGGGAGACAGGAACGAACTTGAAGCAGGAGGCAACAGGGGAGAGAAGAGGATAGGGATTAGGGGAGATGTTGAGGAAGAGATTCTGCCCTGAGGCCTCTAGCAATGGCATCCAGTATCTTCCTCCTCCACTCTCCCGTTTATTAATAAGGTAAGGTCTCTTGCTGAAACCAGAGCCAGTTGGGTTAGCCTAGTTAGCCAGCTTGAACCAAAAGAATCCCCCAAGCCCATTCTATGGCTAAGAACCCAAACTGTAGCCCTCACTTGCATGGAAAATGCTTTATTAGCTGAGCCACCTCCGATGCTGACGTTTTACTGTAAGAGGTCCACGTTCCCAGAGGGAGTGGCTAGACCGGCCCCTCATCCTCCTCTCTCCATCCCAATCTGACATGAGCCCTCACAACCAGGACACCTCTAAGGTCCTCATGCTCAAAGCTCATTCTGTGCCAGGCATGGGGTTCAGGGTTTGGAGGTTAGGGGATGAAGGATGATCCAGAAGCAGAGCCCTCAGCTGAGTGCTTGGGGCTAGAGACTCCAGGTAGGATGCTGAGGCTGGGTGCTTAGACTGAATGGTACCCACTCTATCTCCTATGGGCCTCCATGAGCTAGCAGCCCCGACCTGGGCTGCAGACGGCAGAGCTGAGGCTCAGTAGACCCTCACAGCACACAGCAGGGAAGAACACCGAGTGTCCCAACAGCTGACACAGTTGGATGGAAGGGGTGACCACCGCAGACCCACAGCCCAGGACAGCAACACAGATATCTCCTGGAGGTTGCCTGGCACTCACAGGCTGAATGTCCTGTAGAAGGAGCTTGCCTGTATCCAGTCCTCACAGACTCCTCTATCCCCAGGAAACACCCATGTGGCCTTGGCTATGCTACTCTCCTGGAACCACAAAAGCAGCTCACACAGTGGGTCCACCAGCCTCGTCACCCCTTGCTCTCATGCCTACACACAGGCCCCCTTCGGGACCACATCTGACTGCCATCAGCTTGGATCTGAGTAGAGATGGTGTAATGGTGGAAAGGGGTTCTAAGACAGAACTACACACACACACACACACACACACACACATACACCCTCAACACCAGCTTCAGGACAATATTGTGTACGCTGTGTGCCATGCCCTTCCCTTCCCATCATGGGCAAATTTAGAAATGAAAAAAAAAAATCAAAACAAAACAAAAAAACTGGCGTTGGCTTCAGGACTGGATTCCTCTGAGTCAGTGACCACAAACTCAATGCCCTTGAAGTGCCTGGAAAGACTGCAGGAGGCCAGCTGAGGTCCCCATTCCGAGGAGCATGTGGGACCACTCTGCCCAAGGACCACTCATTTCTCCTTCATCTGAGCCCGCTGGGATGCTCGGCCCATCCTTCCGCCATAGACAAGAACAAAAAGCACGAACTGAAGGTGAATGTCTACCGATCTTGGTACAGGGAAGATGATGGAAACAGGAATGAGCTGGGCTTATGATCCATCTTCCTGCAGTGGCCAGGTCATCTCCATCCCCCTACCCCCACCCCGATACTGTTCCTGGTCAAATTCAGCTCAGTGTAGCTGGATCCTCTGCTTTTTAATTAAATTGAATTAACTTAATTTGTACATGGGTGCGTACACATACATGTTGTGTGCATGTCTTTGCACATGTGTGCACATGCGTGTGGAGGCATGAGAATGACGTCAGAAATCTTTCTCCACCCCCTCCCCTCACCTTATTCATTGAGGCCAGGCCTGTCAATCAAGCCCAGAGCTCTCCCATATGGCTAGTCTAGCTAGCCAGCTTGCTCTGGGGATTCCCATCTCCACCTTCCAAGGCTGGAACTGCAGGTGGGCTGCCACAGCCACACAACATTTATGTATGTTTTCCAGGGACCAAACTCTGGTCCTCATCCGTGCAAGGCAAGCGATTTAATCACGATTTAATCACTAAACTGTATTCCTAGCGCTGTTTGACTTTTTTTAAAAAACGAAACTTTTATATCTGAGCATGAAATTCTGATTAGGGTCTCCTGGGACATCATCCTAGAGCATCCCTCCTAGCATCCTGGAGTTCCCTAGAGCATCATCCTGACATCTCCTGGAGCATCATCCTGGAGGCTCTGGAGTATCATCTTAGGGTCCCCTGGAACATCATCCTGGGGTCTCCTGGGACATCATCCTAGAGTGTCCCTCCTAGCATCCTAGGGTCCCTGGAGCATCATCCTGGGGTCCCTGGAGCATCATCCTGACATCTCCTGGAGCATCATCTTGGGGTCCCTGGATCACCACCCTGGGGTCTTCTGGGAGGACCCCTCCTAGTATTGGTCTAGTAATTTAAGTTACTACTCAGGTGTGCCTCACTGTCTATTGAAACACAGAAAGACCCCATTCACTCAACCAGAAAGACAGAAGCCTCCAGCAGTGAGCCCCAGGAAATAAACCAGGAGTGGAGAAAGCCAGGAGCGTTCTCAGAGAGTAAAGGAGATGGGAACACAATGGGGTAAGACATGAACCACAAACTCATAGACCACGAGGGAGAACTTAGGAGCCCAGGAAGAGGCTGGCTTGGTGTCCAGGAGATGCAGTCATTTGTATCACCTTATGAGTTCTTTAAGTGTGCCCCCGGGGCTCGGCCTCACTTGTGAGATCTGCTTTAATTTCCTTAATGTTCATGAGACTGTTCCTTTTAAACAGGGATAATTTTAAACCATTTTCAAATCAACCTTTCCTAGCAATGAATAGATGTGATTTTCTCCCACGAAGACACCCACAGGCTGTCTAAATTTGGTGTCACCAATACTGACTGGTGACAGATTTATGATATAAATGAGTCTGGGTTTCCTTCTTCTTCTGATTTTTTTTCCCTTTTTGACTTTGTAGATTAGACCTCTCTTGAGACAGATGCCAGGCATGAGTGGCCGCTCTCTGGAGAGTATGTGCCCCTTTGCAGCGCTCAGCAGGTCCCTCCCAGGTAGACCAAAGAAAGTAGAGCATCTCTCAGTTCAGTGGTCCAGCATGTGGAGGACCCAGAGGAAGATGCTCTACCTTGGTGTCATTTGAAATGTTCCCAATGGTGTGAGAACTTCTGTCTCCCACAGTAAGACTGGAGATGCACCTGTGACACTCGGGTTTCGAGCCAGCACCTTGCTCAACTACCCACTAAGAAAAAGGTTACCTTCAAAGGCAACACCACTGACCAAGGTACCTTCTCTGCTGGCTCTTGGTATGCTTGTCAGAAGCCATTGGTTCATTTCCTGCAAATCTGGAGCATCTTCCTGCTGATGGTCCTAGGCTTGTGATCTGGGTCCCTTGTCCCTTTATGCCCCCTTAACCAATGTAGGTTTCTTTGTAAACCAACTCCTGTCAGACTCCCCCAGCTTGTCCTTCAAAGACCTTAACAATGTATCCAGCTGTCTCCCAAATATGAGATAACTTTGTAGCTAGTCTAGATCTGTGCCAAGGGTGGTGATAACTGCTGTGATCCGAGGACCGTGTTGGGTCTATGTGGCACTCACCTTCAGTGGGACCACTTGCATGAGGATGGCGAAGTTGGTGAGGTGCGTGCAGCGGCACACTGAGTAGGTGAGGTTTCCTTCTGTGAGTGCACAGCCCTGGCTGGACCAGATGCCTTCCCCGGAGCTGAGGGCACAGTAGACAGGTATGATCAGCAGGAGCATTGGCACCCCTCAGCCTCACAAGCACAACAACTCACTGGCTAACTCTGATGGCACAGTGCAAATCATCCTCAGGTGTTAAAACTGGGAAGTGGGTAGTATGCTGGTAAGGCCACAGAAAGCTCTCTGGGACAGAGAGAGGCAGAGTCACTACCTTAGCTTGGTCCCCTTGGGAAAGCTCCTGGACCCCTCTCAGTCTGGGAAGCAATGTTTATGGTCCAGAGTCCAGCTGGGGGTGGGGGGGGGGGCGGGGAGATACTCAGGGAATCCTAAGTATCTTGAGAAAATGAATTATAGTGCTTCAGCACATGTCTAGGGGACAGATATGTAAAGTATAGGGTGAATAAATAAATAAATAAATAAATAAATAAATAAAATAAACAGAACTAAAAGGCAGTGCGTACAAATATGATAGAATGTGGTAGGTATAAATATAAAACTCCCGCACAGTACTAATAAAACCTTTGAGGGCTAGAAAGGTGGCTCAGTGGTTAATGTTACTTGCTATACAACTCCACGGCTTTGCATTAGATTCCCAGAACCCATGTAAGAAGCTGGGTGTGGTCCTATATGATGTGATCCACAACTGCAGTGCTATGGGCAGGTAGAGGCAAGAGGATTGCCTGGGGGTTGCTGGGGATTGCTAGGGGTTGCTGGGGATTGCTGGGGATTGCTGGGGATTGCTAGGGGTTGCTGGGGATTGCTAGGGGTTGCTGGGGTTCGCTGGGGGATTGCCTGGGATTGCTGGGAGATTGCCTGGGATTGCTGGGGGATTGCCTGGGATTGCTGGGGGCTGCTGGGATTTGCTGGAGATTGCTGATGGCTAGTCCAGCCGAAAAGAATGCAAGCTCAAGATTCAAGGAGAGACCCTGGCTCAAAAAGAGAAAGGCGAAGAAGAGAAGGATAGAAGGCATATAGGATGCCTCTTCTGACTAGGGCATCTGTGAGTGTTCATGTGCACACACACACATGTATACTATACACGTGTACCTGTTATTGTCGCTTAAATTTTTATTTCACAGATTTTAGTTTATGTGTGTGCTGGGGGATGAGGCTATCCGTATGTGCACGCATGCGCCTGGAGAGGCAAGACGAGAGGGAGCAGCAGATCTCCTGGAGCTGTACCTACAGACGGCTGCGAGCTGCCGTATGGGTGCTGGGAATTGAACACAGGTCCTCTGCAAAGTCAACATGTTACTCTTTACCTCTAAGCCATCTCTCCAGCACTCACCTCCCGATTTATATTAAAAAGAATCCTCGGCCCGTGCGTATTGTTACACATAAGACACACAAAAGGCAACACCACACACAGCACCCAAACGGTACTCGGGAGGCAGTGTCTACCTGGTTTCCATGAATACACACCGAAATGAATGCAAATTACCAAGGAAACTGACAGCTTCCTCATAGTGGCCCCCGAAACCCCGAAGGAGGAGGTCAGGGGAGGAGGCTGGGGTCAAATGGAATGTGTGCTTTTCTGTAATGTTCTTGTCTCTAATTGCTATTATAGCCGAGATTTCTTACAGTGACACCCAGGCCAATATGCTCTGATGCCAGCCGGTTAATCTCTGCAGTGAGTGCGTTGGCCATTGTCATTTTCTTGTGCCTGCTTCTCTGTCCTCTCAAATGCCAGAAAGGTGTCTTTGTCAGCAAAGACAAACTTGTGCCTCAGCCTGAGGCAGGAGAGCCCCAGTCTACAGAGCTGAGGGAGCTGCGAGCCTCTGGCTGTCTCTGATTTGTATTCTGCTGTAACTCCTATTTCTATCCTGTGTGGCAGGGGAAGAGGGGTACTCGCCTGGAGGGAGGTAACCCAGACCCCCATCTTGCATCCCTGACAATATCCATTCAGAGACACCCAGCTAGAGCAGTATTTTATTCTGTAGCCATTGTGATGGTAAGCCTTCAGTGGGGGAAGGGGCTGAGAATGTGGGAAAGGGGCCATGGAGTTAGGCACTGCACCTGGTAACAGAGATGCAGGCACCAGCATCTTTCTGGGTGGTTTTCATGATGAATGAGCCACCTCCTGGGAAGGTCAGAGGTACCCAGCAGAAAGCAAAGCCTGGGCCAATGGAATCACATGTAGAGGAGCCGGACTCCATCAATAGCTACAGAATGCAAAGGCGTTTGGGCCCCTCCCCCACCCAACATTTGGCTCTAACTTTCCCAGGACCTGGGGAGGGACCGCACACTCAGACGATTGTGTTTTACACAGCTACTTTGTATGCCCACCTATTACAAAGATGTGCCCCATTACCATTTGAGGTGACCCTGAGAATTTGAACACAGGAGAGTGGGCGTGGCCCTCAGCTGTAGAGTGGGGTATGCAGACAAACCGAGAAAGACATGTCCCAAGAGGACCCTGAAGGTGTGACTCTGCCCTCATCAGCCAGGGAAGCTGCAATCTGGGTGGTGTCACCTCTGTATGGGCTGGAAGTCTGTTCCCAAGGGAGACATTGGGGACAAGAAGGCAGCTTCCCAGCTGTGCACAAATAAATCTGCCCAGCAGACAGCTGAACAGTTTCAGATAGCATCAAAAATATGCACAGCCTGTGACCTGGGACGTCCACGTCAAGGCAGAAATATGGTCACTCGGGTACATAAATACAATGTCATGTATATAAATACAGTAGAGGAAACAGGACTCAACAGAGGCGGAACACAAAGCAAATGGTGTGGAACGACGCCGGAAATGTCAGAGGAAACACTTCCGTATATTTTCTATGAATGTAAGTGTATATGATACATAAAACAAATCCAAACACACGCATAAACTCAGGGTGAGTTGTAAAAAAAAAAACCCAAAGAGGTATTTGCTTTTTAAAAATGTTTCACCTTGAGAAATAAAGGGAATAATATTTTGAAGCTGTGACAGGGTGGTACATGCCTCTAACTTTTAACACTTGGGAGGCTGAGACAGGAGGCTTGCTGTGAGTTCAAAGCCAGCCTGGGTTACATGGTGAATTTTAAGCTAGCCTGTAAAGTGAGACCTGTCTCAAACATAAAAGAGAAATGTGACTATATTAGGGGACAGGGTGGAGATATATAGTTCAGTGGTAGAGAACAAGCCTACCATGAACAGCTCTGGGTCCTGTCCTCAGTCCCACAGAAGTCAATAGATGAATACATGTATACGTAAGTATTAAGTATATATCAGGAAAGTAACCATATAATTTCTGAGCATACTAATCTTTTCCAAAAAGTGACCAATGTAGCGCAGCAAGACGGCTCCTCAGCCAGCAAAGGCAGTTGCTGTTAGGCCCAAGGACCTGAGCTCAGTAGATCTTGGGGGACACATAAGACTTGGGGGATACATAGGATGGAAGGTGAGAGATGACTGGAGCTGCAGGTGTCCCCTGATGGCCCTGTTCACTCTCTGTAGCACCCGCGAGCATGTGCAGAAGAAATAAATATTTTAAGGTATTTAAATAATAAAAATGAAGTTTAAAAAAGTAGTCCGGGATTCTAAGCCCAGTGAAAATATCTTTTAAAAATGAAAGAGACAGAGGCAGAGGCAGGTGGATGTCTGTGAGTTTGAGGTCAGCCTGGTCTACAGAAAGAGTTCAAGGACAGCCAGGGCTACACAGAGAAACCTTCTCAAAAAAAAAAAAAAAAAGGAAGAAGGATAAGAAGGAAGGAAGAAAAAGAAGAAACAGAGTGAGAGAGAAGAAGGGGAGGGAGGGAGGGAGGGAGGGAGGGAGGAGGGGAGAGGGAGACAGAGAGAGAGACAGAGACAGAGAGACAACTTGTTCTCAGATGAAAAATAACTAGATTTACTTCCACCACAACAAAGGTTACAGGGCAAAAACAAAGGCATAAAAATAGCTGTAGCTGGGACAAGTGTAGGCGTGCATGGCATGGCCCTGGTCGTGTCTGTAACTGCTCTACAAAACAGTCTGGGCCAGAATCACAAAACCTGTAGAGAGCTACTGGAGACCTTGACTACCTCACAACGGGCAGGAGGAACTATGCATGCATTGCATCTTAGAATACTTTTAAAGTGATACGCTATCCATTGCAGGAAGACATGGCTTGGGAATCAAGAGTACTTCCTGCTCTTCCAGAGCTCCACAGTTCTGTTCCCAGCACCCACACTGGGAGGTTTACCAACATCACCACCAACTCCAGCTCCGGGAGATTCTACTATCTCTGGCTTCTATGTGCACATACCCACACCTGCAGACACACACACACATGCAGACACATACACATACTCCCCCTAATTAAAAATAATAAAAACTCATTTTTAAAGGTCAGCAGAGTTGCATCTAAATGTGTGGACCTAAGAATAGCATTCACCTTTGAGGGTAAACATGACAGCACAGACGAGAACAAATACCCAAGGCCTCCAACTCGGTGGAGAATCCATACGCATCTTCTCATTTGTCACCTACCTTTTAAGTCTTGTTTACTCTAGCTCTCAGACTGAACTGGGGGCCTCCTGCACGCTAAGCAAGTGCTCTACCACAAAGCCACATCATCAAGTCCCCTTACACCTTTTTATTTTGAGACCAGGTCTCACTGAGCTGCCTGGGCTAGCCTTGAACTCACTCTGTAGCCCAGGCTGACTTTGATCTTGCTATCTTCCTGTCTTACTGACCTGGGACTTTGAGCCCCCGCTTCTCCTCACTCTTGGAAATGGTCCCAGGACCCCTCATGAATACTAACCTCCAAAGAAGCTTAAATTTTTAAAGTGGTCCAACATTTGCACAGAGGGCCCTCTTACAAACTCTTACATTCCTCTCCAGATGACGTATAACGTGGAACGCAGTGTGAATGGCGTGTGGACAGTTATATTGCAGTAGGAATAATGACCGGAAAGAAGTCTGCGCATGCTCATTACAGGTGTTAATTCGCCCTAACCCAAACATTTCAGGTTTGTAGCTGGTGGAATATCTACCACAAACCCTATGGGTACTAAGGGCCCAGTGTGATTGGCAGTGCAAGCTGCCAGAATAGCAACAGAGTTGCAGAAGACCTGTGCATAATGGCCTCTTAAGGTGGCCTTGTTGACATTTATAGAATTCCCCACCACGAATGCATTGTTCCCCCAAGAGCTCTACGTTCTGGGTTGTATAAACAACCTTAAGCACATTTTAAAAACTGGAGCTGTAGAAAGTACCTTTTCAGATCATAAAATATTTAATTGTAAATCAACAACAGCAGGAAGGTCTTTAGAAAATCCCCGACTGTTTGGAAATTAAAGCAGCTCCCTTCAAAATGAACTGAGGGGGTGGTGAGATGGCTCAGCAGGCAGAAGCACTTGCTGTCAAGCCCGGAAGCCCGGAGTCCCATCCCTGGGACCCACATGGCGGAAGGAGAGAGCTGACTCCCCAGAGTTGTCCTCTGACCTCCAGATGCAGCCGGTGGCAGTGCCTTGGAAGTTGATGGCATTGTCCTAGTTCTCAGTCGTTTGATTGCACAGCTGCACTCGCTTATCAACACGAAGAGAAATATGCTATCAAACTGAATTTTCCTGAATATATAATAAGTAATAATTTGAAAAGTGGTCTGGCTGGATGCTTGTGGCGTGGCTGTCTCTGGGAGCTGGGGCTAAAGAGAATTCCACTGGGCATGCATAATCAATGCAAGTTGTTACCACATCTTGGCTATTGTGTGCAATGCTGCATATATACTCTGACAGGCTGACTTCACTTCCTTTGGATGTATACCAGTAGTGGATCTGGTTTCTCTTCCTTAGGAACCTCCACACTGGTTTCCACAATGGCTGTGCTAACTCACACTCCCTCTCTTCTCCACACTCTAGCCAGCATTGCCTTCTGTTCTGTGATAGTTACTTTCAGCTGTCAACTTAACACAACCCAGAGGCATCTGTGAAGAGGGGGTGCTCAGCTGAAGAGCTGCCTCCATCAGATTGGCCTGTGGCCACATTTGTGAGGCATTTCCTTGCTAATTGATGTAGACAGGTCCTTCCCACTGTGAGCGGCACCATCCCCTACTCAGGTGAGCCTGGGCTACTGCCCAGGTATGAAAGGTAGCTGAGCGAGCCATGGGGAGCAAGTCTCTGTTTCAGTCCCTACCCTTGGTTTCCCTCCATGATAAACTCTGACATGGAAGTCAAATGAATCCTGTCCTCCCCCGAGTTGCTCTTGGTCAGCATTTTATCACAGCAACAGGAATTTAACTAGAATGCTGTCTTTTATCTTGAGTCAAATAGCTCATTTAGTATCAAGGAGTGAAATTAAGTCCCTGTGTGCATGCGTGCATGTGTGTGTGTGTCTGTGTGTGTGTGGGTGTGTGTACAAGTGTGTGTGTATGTGTGTGAGAATGTGAGACTGTGAGTTTGTGTGTGTATGTATGCATGTGTGTGCAAGAGTATGTGAGTGTGTATGAGTGTGTGCGTACACGTGTGTGTGTGTATACATGTTGTGTGTAGAGGACAGAGGTCAGCCTTGGGTGCCATTCCTCAGGTACCAACCACCTTTTATTTTTTGAAAGGGTCTTTTACTAGCCTGGAGCTCATCACCAATTAGGCTAGACTGGCTGCCAGCCAGTCCCAGCATCCTCCTGCCTCTGACCCCCAGAACTAGTACAACAAGCACATTTCCCCACGGCTAGCTTTTTACGTGGGTTCCAGGGGATCAAACTCAGATCCTCCTGCTTAGGAAAGGCAAATATTTAACTGACAGAGCCTCCTCTCCTGCGCCAAAAAGAAACTCATAAATCTTCTCTCTTCCCGTGGCTGACTGAACCGTGGTGGTCAAAAAAGGTCAGCGGCACAAGAATTCCCTCACAGGCTTGATCTTTTGCAGAGTTGAGAAGAGGCCAGAGTTACCGACTTGCAATTATCCTCTAGACAAGAGTCCCAACCGCTGGGCACTCAGTGTCTCAATAGCTGCTACAATCTCCTTCACATGTTATTGGAGTCTGTGGGAAGTTTCACTAATATGTTCAATGCCTGTGCCCCAGCCAGCTGTTGGGAGCGGCCTGCATTCCAAGGCTGTGAACACAACCCCCTCAACACTGGTTCATCTTTCTGGCTTTCCCAGGATTCCCTTGAACGCTACTGACGTCTCTCCATGGCAGTTTGCTAGAAATACCAACAATTTCTTCTTCTTCTGATTTACAGTTTCTAGAGTCAGCCTTGCTTGTCTCTTGACCCTTTCTCCTTGAAGCTCATACAGAATGAGCCTCGTTCTCAGAAGCTCTCTTGGCATGTGTCCTCCATGTTGCCTTTGGGTGCTAAAGAGGTGTTCCCCCCAAGCCACATGTGACTGTCTTCCTGGCTGAAGTGAATGGGGTGTGTTTACAGGGAATTCATGTGAGTACACTTTCTCTTTTGTGACTTTGACCTGGTGACTTTCACTATGGCTTCTGGAAGAGACTTGGTCCGGTCTCTCTGGTCTCTCCGCAGCCACTCCCTTGTCACTAACCTGGCTTAACTAAGCTCTTCCTGTCCAGCCTCTCTCCCTGCCACCCTCCCCTCAGCTCTCAGGAGTCACTGTAACTCATTCTTGCTTAGTTTGAGCTCATCACCCACTCTGAGCTCAGCTTCTTGCTCTGTGCCCATCAACCCCGAGATTACCCACCCAGAAATCTCATCTTGGTTATAACAGCCGTTCATTCCTTCTGCCGTGGGGATCTGGCTTGCTGTGATCTCCTTTGCATTTATTTCCCCGAGGATTGGGATATTGGTTTGCTTTGCTCTGTTTTCTGTATCTGCCGGCCATTCTTATTTCTTTCTTTCTTTCTTTTTTTTTTTTTTTTTTTTTGGCAAAAGTCAATTTAGGGACTATCACTCTGTGACTTAATCGGGAGCGTTTGAGTCTCTGGCTATTGGGTTGTTTGTGTTTCTGGAAAACTGTTTCTGGACACTAACTCCAGCTAGAGAGATGTTTTTATTACGTTTATTTATTTGGGAACAAGGTGTGTGTGCATGCTAGAGTTTGTTCTTTCCTTCCATTGTGTGGAGATTATTGTGTTATGAGACTTGGCTGCAGACACCCTTACCCACTGAGCCATCTTGCTGGCCCCAACAGTAAGATTTTGATATGCAAGCCACTGAATGCTGTTTCCCAAAGTCCCAACTCCTAGCCCTCCCTCAAGCCCCTCATGATAGAAGGTAGAGGGAGAATATTCCCGTGTGGCCTCATGGTACCCCTGATGAACCGAGTCTAAGGACTTGAAAAGATGTCAATCCACACACCCTCCAGTCATAGTCCATCAGGTCTTGCCTCATGCACGGTCGTGCAAACACGTTGGCTTCATAAGCAGGTGACTAACACCCTGCCTTGTGTGATGTGAGCCTGGCCTGGGGTGGACACGGTAAGTCACTGGACACCTTGCTGTCTTCCCCTATTTCCTGCTTTTGTTCAACTGGTAGCCCCTACGCGGACAGTACCTGAAGTTAAGGAAGGCGCAATACAGAAAGAGACGGTTGCTCTCATTGGTGGCATCGTTGTACTGCTTCTGAGTCTGAAATAAAAGGAAATGGAATTACATCCCTGTCACAGCAGGAAAAGCCAAGCACAGGTCCGGAGTGGAAACAGCTGCCCCGCCTCTGTCCTGCCCACTGTCCCCGCCCCCGCCCCGCCCCCAGCCCACACGCACGCCCAGGGGCTGAGTCCAGGGCTCAACCGATAAAAGCACTTGTAGAACCTGGCGACCTAAGTTCAATCCCTAAACTCAAATCAAAAAACAGATGGGGTGGTCCACATCTGTAATCCAGGGCCCCTATGACAAAATGCGTGACAAGGACACTTGGAGGATGGTGTGAGCCAGATAGCCTGGGCGTGCTAAAATAAGAGAGGGTCTGATGCAACAAGGTAGAGGGCAAAAACTGACTCCTGAAAGCTGTCTCTGACCTTCACTAAGGCGCCATGGCACACACACATGCCTGCATCCATGCCCACAAAATTTAAAGAGTTTTTAACTAATGAATTTCTAAAAGATTTTTAAACTTTAAAATGTGTGCACGTGACGCGCGCTCCTATGTATACATGCATGGGAGTGCAATGCCCGTGGAGGTCAGAAGTGAGCGCTAGATCCCCCTGGAGTTAATTATAGGGGGCTGTGAGGCACCTGAAATGGGTGCTGGGAACCGAACTTGGGTCTGCTACAGGAACAGCATACACTCTAATCCATGCAGCCATCCCTCCAGCACCCTTAAAGAAAAAAAAAATCCTCAAAGACCTCTCACATCCTGGACATCCAGTGTATTTGGGACAAAGCTAGAGAAGCCAAGTGACCAGCAAGAGCTAATACTAAGCCACACCTCTCCAGGGCTTCCCAAGATCGGCACCTGCAGACTGCCAGGTCTCTTATCAGCTCATAAACAGCCTGCATGGATGAGTAAAGCAAGCCCATGCTGCTTTTGAGTTTCTGTAGATAAAGAAGGACAAACTCTGTGGAGAGGCATAGGAGCCTGGACTTCAAACCTCTTGCCTCAGAATGGAACAGAGTTTCAGATCATCCCTCTGCCCAGGTACCACACAGCTCCAAGGCACTTCGGGGGAAGGTCTAACACAGGAACCCAGAGTACTCCATGCCTGGAGCCACGCTTGGCATTAAACAGCTGCAGTTTACCCAGTGATGGAGATGTAGGGGAGGCAGAGAGCCCATGGAGGGTGGGTGAGATGACACTGAATAGAAGTTAGGAGTAACAATGCAGGTGACAGCTAGGCCAGGTGCATGCATCTCTACTGGAACAAGAGCCCTGTGTCGGAGGTCTCCTCTGGTGACAAATTGCATAAAAATGTCTAAGAGATCCATCTCTGTCTTACCCATGTCCCTAAGAAGTATTTAAAGCAAGCAGGTGACCAAAGAAAGTCAGTTCCAGCCCTCCACGCCACAAGAGACATGGGTTCCAGGGAGGTCAGAAGATCGTTCTTCTCCTGGGTGGCTTACTTCTGCCCCTTCCACCTCCTGAGACCAGAGTTATATCATCCTTCAAAGAAAAAGTGCAGCTGGCCAGTGTGCAAAAAGGCCAACTGTGTGTGGTCCATAAGGGATGGGTAGACTGGCTGTCTTGGGTCTGGAGCCAAGGTCACAGGCCCCACTAGGAATTCCCTGCCCAGCTGGTCCTCCGGCTCTGTCCCAGGCTCAGCTCTTTGGCTGGGAAAATAGAATTTTGAAAAGAAAAAAAAAAAAAAAGCCTGGACGTTTCCAGAGAGATTTTAACATATGGGAACGAGGCTGTGCCTATGAAAAGGTGAGTCACCCCGCACAACCCACGTTCCACTTGCCGAGGACCGTGGGAGGCCGATAGCTCATCCAACTCCCTGTTTCCTGGGCTGGAGAGAAAAACCATTTCCGAAGGTCAGCAGGGGTGCTGGACATTCAGAAGGCCCTGGCAGGGTCTCTCGGAAGGTACTAGCAGAGAAACCCCAGTACTGTCCCACACAAGCCTGATTATTCCCCAGACACCTGCTGTGGTGTCCAGAGCTTCCGGGACTGCAGAATAGTTCCCATGATTCATCGGGCTCCCTCCACCTCTGGAATGAGCTTCCAGATGGGATTAACCAGCCAATTACTCGGCACCTGCTGTTTCTAGCGAAGTGTAGGCTTCTGAACATGAAAGAGGGGGCGGGCTATATCTGAGAAGGTCCCTTGACATCTCTTGTTCAGATACGTGTTTGCTTTATGTCTTAATGTGTGACTTTCCTGATAAAGACACTGAGAGCCACTTCTTCATCACTGTCCCCAAGCAGAAGGCGGATGGCACCATGGTCCTTAGTTCTGACCCTCAGCAAGGCAGCATCACAGAGCAAAACAGCCACATCCCCAGCATAGAGCTAGACACAGGCAGAGCCTGGCTGAGGCCCCAAGCCACCCCTGCGTCTTTACCTCCCATCAGCCTCTTCCCAGCATCCCAGGCCCAACTCTGAATGGTGAAGGGTCCCATAACACAGAGGCCTGATGGTCTCTGGTTTCAGAGAATCTTCGGATAGCCCTTCATAGCCCTGGAAAACCCTCGCATGGAAGACCAGTAGACCCTCTGGGTCAGCATCAGGAAGGAACAGTTGGGTCGATTCCCATCATAGGGTTTGAGGGCAGGCCAGTGGGGTGGACCATCTTGCGGGCAGAAAGGCAAGAGGCCAAACCAGGCAACACCTTGCCTGTGCCACGATTTCCCAAGGCTCTAACATATCATCACTGCCATGGGGACACGGCCACAGGGAAGGTGCACGAGTCAGAGAGACACACCACCGCCCACCTGTGGTCCAGAGGTCCTAAAAATGATGTCTATATAATGCAGAATACAGGTTTCAATCATTCACGGTCAGTGTGGGCTGTTGGGACTTGTAGACAGACCCATTCCTTCAGTGTGAGCTAAATTCTAAATCATGTCCCTCCAGGGCTTCCGAAGTCAGCACCTGCAGACTTCCAGGTCTCTTATCAGCTCATAAACAGCCTGCATGGATGAGCAAGTCTATCCCATGCTGCTTTGAGTTTCCAGAAAAGGAGGAAGAGGAGGAGGGGGATAAAGAAGAAGAAGAAGAGGAGGAGGAGGAAGGAAGGAGAGCTCTGTGGAGAGGCATGGAAGCCTGGACATCAAACCACTTGCCTCAGAATGGAACAGAAAGAGTTTCAGATCATCCCTCTGCCCAGGTACCACACAGCTACAAGGCACTCAGGGGGAAGGTCTAACACAAAAACCCAGAATGCTCCATGCCTGGAGCCATGCTTGGCATTGAACAGCTGCAGTTTACCCAGTGACAGAGATGTAGGGGAGGCAGGGCATGCTCAGGAGCCTGTGGAGGGTGGGTGAGGTGACACTGAACTGGAAGTTAGGAGGGACACCCCTGTTAACAGCTAGGCTAGGTGAGGATGTGTCTCGAATGGACCAGGAGCCCTGTCCCCCAACTCTGGACCCCAATTGACCTTCCTGTAATTTGGGCAGTCCAGACTTGTAGTCTGGTTTGGGACACAGGGAAGGGTCCTGGCACTGATAGAGACCTCTGAAGATGCCTCTGGTGACAGGAAGCATTCTCTACCCCCATCTCTCTTAGACCCGCCTCCTTCCATATCCACCCCTCCCATTTTACAGTAGTCCTACCTCCTTCCATACTGACCACGCCCATTCTCATTGCGCTACAGGGGTGGGGCCTGAAGAAGACCAGTCTATGCAGATGCTTCCTGTGGTCATGCACATTCTACCGCAGCTGCCACATGGCTACCCTGGTCCAGCAGCTCAGGCCACTGCCCACTGGCCTCCACAGCCACCCATCCCCCTCTTTTCTCTTTACAGCACAAATCCAGTCCTATCTTACACCTTAGACCCTCAAGGGAAAGATGGAACATCGATCCCTGAAGGAGGAAGGACACCCTACCTTTGCAGCACCGCCCTCTATTTTTGCTAAACCTACCTTGTCTACCCGTCCATCCATCCATCCATCCGACCTGCCCATCTGCCCACTCATTATCCTGCTCATCAACAGTCCGTCCCAGTCCCCACCTACCCATCTCCTACCACCCCTGCCTGACCATCCACCCACCTATCCACCTGCCTGTCCACTCCACCTTTCCACCTAACCCCTTCCACTCACGTGCTTGTCTAGCCATCCATCTACCCATCCCACCCGTTCACATTCCCACCACCTCATTCCCCCATCCCCCACCTGCTAACCCACCTACCCATCATCCACACTGCACACACCCACACACAGACACACACACAGACACACACAGACACACACACACACAGACACACATACACATACACACCTTCCAAGCTTCCCCAAACTGCTATAGCTGCCTGGGAGGCCTAACCCTTCTGACATTCCTTCAGAAATAATCCTCCCAGAAGCCCCAGGCTCCCCAGGGGTGTCATCCACTGCTGTATTTCCCCTCCCTCTTATTTCTACACATGCTCGTGTCCACTAGATCCTACTCCCCTTTCCCAAGGTGTCAAAACCCCAGAGCAGGCCTCACTCTTTGAACCACCCTGTTCCCTAGTGGGTTGACCTGATGCTGCTTGCATTCTAGTAATAATTTGGGGCCCCCCAAGACTGGTTGCTCTAGAAGCAAAAGCATCCCCGTGTTGACGCTAGCTCAGTGACCCTGCCCCCAGTTAATTGTGATTGGTAAATAAAGACGCCAAAAAGACAGCCAATAGCTGGGCAGAAGAGACATAGGTTAGATTTGGGTTTCCTAGGCTTGGAGTCTGAGACAAGGGAGAGAAGGAGAGGAGGAAGGAGAAGCTGCCATGGGTTAAGGGTCAAGAGGATGTGGCCCCAGGGGCTACCCATTTGGAGTTAAGAGCAGCCCAGATGGAACATAGTAAATAGTAAATAGTAACTCGGGGTTATCGATGGGAAAGTAGATTCTAGCAGCATGGAGGGCAGGCAGCTGCCCAGCTACTGTGCTGTTTAGGGCTTATTATAAATATAAAGGCTGTGCATGTGTCTTTCGTGTGAGAACTGAACAACCAAAAGCAGGGTAGAAACCCTGGGCTGGGATTTTCAATATTTTCT